GATTTTGAACTTTGACGCGCGCTCACGGCCTTATGAAAGGTCAAGGGTGACTGAAATTAATGTCAATTGTCATTTACGGTAAGAGGAATCTAAATCATGTAAAAAAAAAATGAATTTGACCTTTTCCGCGCGTCGTGAGCGCGCGCAACGCGCGCGGGGACACTTACGGACGGAAAATTTTGAAATGCTTAAAATGACCTGATTCGTACTCTCCTTTAATAGTTAAGTGATTTTGAGCATTTTTAAATATTGACGCGCGCGTACGTGCGCGTCATGACCTTTTTGTGACCTTTGATGACATGACTTGTAGACCCTTGACCTGAAGTATATGTGATATGAATATGAATGACCTTTGCTTATGCATCATGAAGATATGATGGATAACGTGATTTCACAAAATGGCGCCTGGATGACGTCATGATGACCTGATGACCTTGAAAAGGTTACTGTCACGTCTCATGACAATGACCTATGACTGTGTCAAAATTGAAAGAAATTAACACAACCGATCTTGAGTTAACCGATGAACAAAAAACGGGGAGAAATAAAAATAAATAATAATAATAACTAGACTTGAATTCGTCACGAAGACGAATAAGGTGGTCTGTCTAAGTCTTATGATAGATTTGAGAATGGGATAAGTTATATAGACATGTAAACAATGATGATGATGATGATGATGATCTTGATAGTAATGGTGATGACGGTGATGACGATGATAATGATAATGTTGATGATGACGATGATGATGTTGATGATCATGATCATGATCATGATCGTGAGCATGATCCTGACATCTAATTGAAAAAATGAGGGAGATGTAGATAGCATATAGTCTCAGCTACATTATACTCAAAAATCAACAAAAAACAAGCGGAAATAACGGCGATATTGCTCGCAAAAGACAGGAATGTAGAATCCAGATTTAAGAAAAAGTCATCTCCCATAAGTATTACAAGCAAAAAGTAATGGATCAAGTGATAATAGGGTAATAATAAATTAAATATAGTTGTTTATTACATTTGTTGCGATTCTACGTGTTTTAATATTCAAATGAGATGGTACAGTGAAAGGTCAAAAAGAAAAAAAAGTGAAGAAAAAAAATTGTTGGAGACGCCCGGACTCGAACCAGGGACCTCGATGTCGGAAGTCAAGTGCGTTACCGATATACCAAAACATTTCACATAGAGATTACACGTAAACGGAAAATGGAATTCTCAAATCCCACTTTGTAAGTGAAATATGAGCATGATCCCGGCATCTGATCGAAAAATAAAGGGCACACCTGTGATAGCTTATTGTCTCAGCTACAACATACTCAAAGCTCAGCGTAAACAAAGATAAAACGACGGAGATATTGCTCGCGAAAGACGAGAATGTAGAATCCAGTTTTGAGAAAAAGTCATGTCCCATAGAGAATACACGCAAAATGTGACAAATTGACATGCCTCCTTTAATCTTAAAAATACGCCATGATGCTTTTGTCAAAATGAAATATTGTGGAAACTGCATTTGTAGAGAATATTCTCAGGTAGAACATATCAAAATTTGAAAGAAAATTGATGAATATTTACAGAGATACAATCAATTTTCCAAAAATCTGCTGACGTCATAATATGAAAATTAAAATTTTGAGTTTGGAGGCCATTATGATGACGTCATGAGTTAATTGAGGGTCAAATGAGACATGAAATCATATCTCCAACTCATGCTTTTTCCAACCATGATATAAAAGTTGGGGTCAATTGACTATCTGAAGAGCTATTTTGATTTTTAAAATGTCGTGTTTTTGATCAAATTTGCATTATATTGCCCATAGCAGTACGCGTGGATTTTGAACTTTGACGCGCGCTCACAGCCTTATGAAAGGTCAAGAGTGACTGAAATTAATGTAAATTGTCATTTACGGTAAGAGGAATCTAAATCATGTACAAAATTTGAATTTGACGTTTTCTGCGCGCTGTGCGCGCGCGCAACGCGCGCGGGGAACACGTACGGACGGAAAAATTTGAAATGCTTAAAATGACCTGATTCGTACTCTCGTTCAATAGTTAAGTGATTTTGAGCATTTTAAGATTTTGACGTGCGCGTACGTGCGCGTCATGACCTTTATGTGACCTTTGATGACATGCGTTGTTGACTCTTGACCTGAAGTGTATGTGATATGAATATGAATGACCTTTGCTCATGCGTCATGAAGATATGATGGATAACGTGATTTCACAAAATGGCGCCTGGATGACGTCACGATGACTTGATGACCTTGAAAATGTTTCTGTCACGTCTCATGACAATGACCTATGACTGTGCCAAAGTTGAACGAAATTGATCAAACTGATCTTGAGTTATCTTGTCCACAAAAAAGTGAATAAATAAATAAATAAATAAAGAAAGAAAATTCTGACGAAAACAATAGGTGATCTGTCGTTGACAGACCACCTAACAAGAGGGTGGTATGTGATACATACCACCTAATTATCGGTGGTATGTACTGTAATGTGAAATGTGAAAAATGACATCCTTTTAATTGCAAATTTAGACCATGATGCCGTGACCTAAATCAAAAATAAAATACACAACTTTCGTATAAAATCGTCTCAGCTATACCATCTCCAAAATTGATAGAAAACAACCAATATGCACTGAGATACATGTTCATGTACACTCAATTTTGTACAAAAGTTATGACGTCATTAAGTAAAAATTAGTATTTTTAAGTTCTTAGGCCGTTATGATGACGTCATGATATACTTTTGGACAAAAAAAGACATGAAATCATATTCCCGACTCATATTCTATCCAAATATGAAGAAAAAAAATGGGGGCTCCCGTTCATCCTGAAGAGTTATAATGGATTTTGTGTACATGTAGGCATATTTTTGGCCATGTTATGTATTGAGAAAACTCGCGCGCACGTACGTCCATCTTGAACGGACGCTCATTCCGTTATCAATGGTCATGAAATGCTTTACATGGTATCAAATTGTTGGGAAAATTATGAAGATTACTATGTTTCAAATAACAGCGCACACAATATTCCACTTATAGACCGACTTTCTATAGGCATATGCCATGGTCTGAAGTTAATGTTAAGTTTTCTCGAGAACAAAACACGAGTGTTGTTTGGTTTGTGGAACAAGCTAGCAATGTGCTGGTTGCACGTCGTGTATGTGATGACAACACCCAGGTACTTGCGAGATGTCATAGACCCTAATAACACACCTACTTTCACACAATTCCTATAGATGGAACGTTTCTTTGTTGTCATATAGAATAATGTTCCCATAAATTACTGTTTTTATCAGTATGAACATTATAGAGCCACTAGGGCAATATGATGACATCAAATCGGTTAAATAGCATCATATTCAGATTCACTGACCCATATAACCCCAGATTAGTATCAATTTGTGCTATTTTAGCCCTTTTTTAAAATAGAAAGTACAGTCGACATCTCACTAAGATAGCGGCCATTTTGGTTTGACCATTACAGCGGCCCGAGGGGACGTCCTTCTCGGGTGCCAACCAAAAATCGAAATAGTATGGTATGGGCAACCCATGTGCCAAATTTGGTGCTTTTGGAAGAATGTGAACCAAAATATCCCTAACAACCCCCACTAGAAGTGTAAGAAATACACCGAGAGAGAGAGAGAGAGAGAGGGGGGGGGAAAGGAAAAATAATAGGACAGGCTGAGAACGTGTGTTAGAGATTTAAAGAAGAGAGACAGAAAGAGAGCGTGAAAACTGGAAAACAACAACAATATGCACGTCAGTGAATCAGATTTCATATAGTGTTGTAAATAAAATACTGCACAATACATTCCATTACAGTTACTGCTTTGTTCTGTGGGGAGGAGCAATGTCTTCCTCTATGTTTTTTTTTTTCTTTCTTTTTTTATGTGACGTTATTTAATTATGCAAAATTCATGCGGCGTCTTGTCCAGTAATATGCCTATATTTAGGGTACCGTGTTATAGACGTGTCCATTTAGGATGGGGGGGGGGATTATGAAAACTCATGTGATTTCATCTTACTTGGTGTTGTTAGACCTATTTAACTTTTAACGTACGATCATTAAAATCAAATGTATTGCTGGAATTCATAGTCTTTGGTTAGGATTTTTTATTATTTATTTTATAGCAAGGTTATTTTATTAGCTCCTCTAGGCTACTCGTACATTGTATATCCCAAAATTTTCCATCAAATAATGCTGACACATGGCTTTTATAAATTGGTATTATAGATGTGACCGGTGCATGGCGCGCTGAGGTTCGTCAGCAGATGATATAGAATTAGCTGCGCTGGTAGTACCGACCGGTATTGTTGCGTGATAATTAAGATGTCGAGCATTACCAAACTTCTGTTGGTTGGAAATTTCATTGTCAAGAACTCGAGAAGTGGACGTGCGTTTATGCAAGGCAAAGTGGGGGTGGAAGGGCATCCCGAGGAATTATTTGACATATTTGTCAACGATCTAATTGGGATGCAAGCTGTGGTACGGAAATTGGAAGCTCTTGAGGTGCTTACATCATTTGGAGCCAAGAATATTGTTATAGACAGAATCGCTAAGAAGGCACTGGTCAACCATAACACCAAGGTTGGTAGATCTAGACAGAGTAGTACCCCTATCTGTATTTAACTATAACCTTAATTTTTAAGGATGTCTTAATGCAAGAAATTACAATAATTTGGTATTGGTAACTAACTTATTGTGCCTAGGCCAGATCTAGAGAATGCAGGCAGCTTTGCTGCCTGCGTTTTAGGCTCATCTATCCAAAATAAGTGAGTCATTTTTTCATGCCATCCTAGGGCAAAAATCTGAAAATATTTTAATTTTTTTTTAGCTACCTGGCATCTTTGTTCTTTCCTTAACTGTGACGGGCTATTTAATTTTTTTTCCCAAGATCATTTCTGTGCCAAAATCCGTGATTTAGACGGGTCGTTCACTTTTTCCCCGTGTTATAATTATAATAATTCCACTGCCATTTTGAAACTTCGCAAACGGTACCCAGCGACGCTTAATGCCGGCATGGCGCGCGTGCGCGGTATCGTTTGCGATGTTTCAAAACAGTCACAGTGGGAATATAACATGCGAAAAAATGAACGACCCGTCTAAATCACGGAATTTGGCACAAAAATGATCTTGGGGAAAAAAAGTAAATGGCCCGTCACTGTTAAAGAAGGAACAAAGATGCCAGGTAGATATAATTTAAAAAAATATATTTTCAGATTTTTGCCCTAGGCTATGAGGATGGCATGAAAATATTACTCACTTATTTTGGATGAGCCTAAAAAGTTAGAACCTGCGTTCTTGCTGCCTGCAAAGCTGCCTGCGTTCCTAGGGCTAATAGAATACCAACTTATAGGTCTAGCAAAACCAAAAGCATGATTGAAACCCAGTTTCATCTAAATCCAAGACCAAGGCAAAAATCAATAATAAAATTTAAAAAAACAAGTAGATCTAGCAAACTTTGATCTAGACCCTAGACCCTTGGGGGGGGGGGGGGTCAGGCCTGAAAAATTATTCTTCTTCTTCCAGTTGACCAGTGTTGTTCGAGATGGATCAGCAATAGGTGTTGCTAAAAACAAATATCGGGTTAAATTGAATGTATAAATAATGAAATGGGCCTAGATCCTTTTGAACACTCAACAAATAAGTGGTTGGAGTCTATAATTTGAGGGTATCTATTTGTGATATGATTGGAAAGCTGATTTTAATTGAAATTTATGAATTTTCTTTTCATTTTTATTTCAGTTCTTCTACAAGATTGCAGGTTTTGATTTTCCGGATGAAATCGTACAGAACTACCTAAGCCCACCTGTTCTTAACATTGCACAAGTAAAAGCGTCGCCGACGAAGAAGCGTGTTAGCGTAATGGCGAATGTGGAAGAGGTAAGTGTTTTTTTTTTTTTTTTTTGCAACATTTTAGTGACCACTTACTCGTACGCACGCATTGACTTCTGTACAAATTAAGTCTGTGGACGGAGGTGGAAAAAAGAGACCGCAGCAATGTACATGTATGCCAAGCTTTGTCAGTTGTATGATAATTATTTGTATTTGTGTATTAATTTTACCCTCGATCTGTACGATGTTCTGGGGGCTTTGCTTCCACACCCTCGCCCATAATGGAAGTTTCCCTGATCTGCAAATGTCGAAACATGTTTTTTCGATTTAAGGTTCCAGGGGCTCTTTTGGTAATTGTTGGACTTAAAGTTTGAGCCCATCACCCAAATAGGGATGGATTTTCTGCAAACTGCTATGGAATCTTGCATTTACGATATTGTTTGCTACGATAATCTCATTTCTTGAACCTGGCAATGCTTTTGCAATGAGATTCATTTGAAATGGAAATATAAAGAGTGGCCCTGTAATTTTTGGGTACGGCCTACATTGTATATTTTAGGTTTATAAGTTTTTATTTATTAGTATATTTGAACTATGGGTGAGTTTTGTAGTTCATATTTTGTATTTGTGTAGGTTGGAGAAGTCCGTAATGTCGCAGGAGGGAAGAGAATACGCACAGTCTCGTTAAATGACGGAGAGGAGTCCATTCGGCTTAGCCTCTGGGAAGAACATACGGACATTCCCATTCACATAAATGATCGACTCAAAATCGAGTGTGTGGAGGTTTCGGAATGGAACAACGTAAAACAATTGGATTCGACGTCAGCCATGCGTGTTGAGGTTTGTATGCATACAATAGTTGAAAAGTTGAAAGTGGGTTTGATCCCCGGCACTTATTTCCTTGGGCAAGGCATTTTACTTACATTAGCTTCACTCCATCCAGGTGTAGATGCATACCTGGGAGGATGATATACACGCCTATAAAATGTTAAATGGCAGCTGGAATTGAATTCAAGGAACGGGGTAATAATATAGCGATTTTAGAGCCTTTATATGGGAAAAGTGCATTATAAATATTAATATAGTAATATTATTAATAGCTTTATCATGGATATATGATATCAAAGGCACTGAATTTTCTCAAAAGAATTATGATTAAGTTGGTTTAGTTTTTATTATACTGGTATGTTCCAAGAAACGTTTTGATTAGAAGCCCCCGGTAAATATGATATGTAATGCATGACAGAGTTATGTTTTTGAGCAGTGTCACCACAAAGTTTTGATAAATGTCTGGGAAAAAGAAATTGTGCTTTTAGATTTATGCCAACAATAACAATTGATTCAATAAAATCCATATTTGTTCTTGGATACATGACATACATGGTATAAATGAAGAATTGGAGATTGTTACAATACTAGCTGTTATTGTATAGTGCCATCTGTTGTTGAGTAAAGGTCAAAGAATAAAGCCCCTATTTTGACTTTAAGAATAATCAGACAGGTTGATCAATGGGTATACATGTAGGCAATTGCAAAATGTGCATTCTGCATCTTATTGCAGTCAAAGCATTAGCGGAGATGTTAAGCAGGAAGAGTTGGAAAAGCATACAATAAACACCATTTTGGGGTTGTAAGTTTATATTACATGGCATTATGCTATTTTTTCTGTGAAATGTGGATTGTTATTCTATGAATTATTTTGAAATGAATTGGGTTTTAATTTACTATGTTAATTTCATATTTATTTTGTTGTTGCACATATGTGCTATATATCTTTATGTTTGTTTTATTGCAGCCAGTGGTAATGAATGATGAGGATAAGACTGGCCAAGTTATTGCTCTTACGAGTGACAAGTAAGTTTGTTTGAATTTAAATATTATTTTTTGTTTCAACATTTTGTCTACCAGAGGTAAAAAAGGGTAATTTTGTTGGGTTGACGTGTGTTGGTCTGTTTGTGTTTGTCATTCTTGTGGTATTGCAGGAACTATGTATCTTTGGCGTTCATTGAAACTGTTGTATCAGTTGGTTGGGGTCAAATATCAATTTTGAGATTTTGTGGAAAAGGGAAGTGGAAGTCCTCTATACAGTGCGTGTCAATGAAAACTATACATTTTCAAAATGTCTACCAAATAAAAACTAAATGGTTCTTGGGGGAAATGTTTATATACTATGTAGAAAAAGTTCATATATCCTCAAATATTGTCATGACACAAAAAGTCTAAAAATAATGCATGCTTCAGTGAGCAATGTCCATTTTTGTAAAGGACACAAAAAAGAGGCTGTGCAGGAATTAGCTATTCATTTATGACAGGCGTATGGGTTGCCATGGGGATCAAAATTAATAATGTAATAAATCAGCTAACATAGTCATAATTAAACTACAAGTTAAAAATAGACAATCAATATTTAAATGTAAAAATGTAATGGTTAACGGTTTGTTTTCATACATGTATTATTAATGTTTAATTGTTTTGACTTTTAGTTTGCTTTTGTCTTCGTTAGTTGATTTATGCCGTTATTGATTTTGACCCATATGGCGGCACATAAGCATGTTAAATGAATAATGAATTCCTGCGCAGCCTTGTTTTGTGTCCTTTATAAAAGTGGGAATTGCTCATTGAAGTATGTGTTATTTTCGGCTTTTTTTGTGTCATAATGATTATAGTTGATCATAAGGTCATGTGTCACATTGGGGTATAGTAAGAGGGTGGAGGCGTTACATTTTGGAGGAAAAATTATCACATTTTTTCACATAGCATGAAAACAATGTACAGTCATGAGCTGTACAATGTCTCATATTGTAGATAAATTATCAGGTTACATGTCTGTGAAGTTTCAGCTTTGTCGTCCTAGTTTTTATACAAAGATAATTTGAGTGAGTATAGGGTAGAGAGTGGAGGATCCTACATGTATGGTGGAGGATCCTACGTACGGTGGAGGCATATGTGTTAAAGTATAGGGAATTCCAATTTTTGTTATTTTCTTATTCTTTGTTGCGTTATATTTTTGCATCCACTCAGTCATATAGGTTGAGTGATACTCGGTGAGTAAATGGGCAATTCCAAGCTGAAGTGCATGCATGGAGCTGAAACTTTAATGTGGTACTGTGCCTTAATTTGTAAATGCAAATTAGGATCTGAAATTAACACAAAGGCCTCTTTACAACCAATCATTTAAAGGCATTGGCTAACGTCTTTAGGATTTTAAAAAAGCTTGTTTTACTACTTGAAAATGATTTAAACGTACATGAGTTATAGTTTAAAAACACCAATCTGAAAGTGTCATATGAAAATATCTACAGGAATTTTTTTTCAAATAGCGAAAATGTGATACAATATGTTTGGAAACGATATCAATCTTTTTTTAACGGTTGGTTCTTGCAATTTTCTTGTTAAATTTCTTTTAAATCTAATTTTGTTCCTTGAAAATGGTATAAACGTATGAGTTAATTAGGAAGACCAATCGGAATGTCTCAAATCGTAATATCTATGGGAAGTATTTTTAAATATTGAAAATCTGAAGCAATGTTTGAAAATGATATTTAACGATATCTAGTGATCGATTCTTGTAACGGCCGTTGTAATTTTTCTCGCGGCGAGAATAAATACTCAAAATCTGTGTTTTAGACGTATACTTATCTAAAGCGTTTCATTCCAAATTTTTGATGCTTTTGGGGTTTTTGAGTTGACATAAAGCTATCCATACATATTCCTCTTGATTTTGATATTTTTTAAATTATATGCCTACAACGTTAGCCTATGTCTTTAAGTTCAAACATTATGAGATTCAGTTTTCTTACGCTGAATAATTGATCAAACCCAAATTTGCACATATGGGACTATGGTGCTTTAAATATCTAGTTGCTTTTCTCTGATTTTTTTGGCTTAAAGTAATTATCATGGACTATACTCTAACAAACTTTTGTCTTTACAAGCATTTCTTCTCACAAAATACCCCAAAATACACAGGGAAACCAGATACCACTCCGTATCACAAAATAATCAACCAATTTTCTTATGAAAGACACCAAGAACACCATATCCAATCAATAACTCAAACTTGTGATATCTATTTAAAGTTCACCCAGTTTAAGCAAAATGTTTTCTGCTCAAATATGCATGTCCATTTTGCGTCACTCCGTAACCATGCAAGCTTATGAATATTTATATCTCATTAATTAAGTGGATCACTACAACAAATATTATTATTTTGAAAAGTGCATGGGTATATACCAACAACTATTGTCGTGTACCATTTCTTTGTACTGGTAAATAAAGATTAAAGTATGGATGATAAATTTGTTTGGATGCTGAAATTTGTTTCTGAATAACGCCGTACCCTTGGAACTGCCCAAATACAACTTGTATCAATGGAAAGCTAAGTAGGAAAATAATATAAATATACAAAACTAAATCTTAATTTTCATATTGGTATACATGATTGTACCTCAACTAGGCTATTCTCTCCCCCCGGTCCCCAGTACTTGAAAATGACTTTTAATTGTATAGTGCAGGGGAGTGACGTCAAATGATGTGCATGGAATATGCTATAGCTGTCCGGTAGACAGGCACGATTATGGGTTTGCCCTTCAGGGAAAAAAAACCAAACCATTCCATAACTGTGGACCTGTGTGTGTTGAGGGTCTATTATGAAATGAAAGGGCAAACACAATCATTCCTGGCTGCTAGACGTCTATATGCACATTCTTTGATGTTACTCACCAATGTAGCAATAATTCAGGCCACTTTGTAATTGAAGTATAAAGTACCAATTTTGAAGCTGCCAATTTTTGAGTGTTTTGGAAGGAATCACTTTCTAGCTACAGTGTAGATGGCCAATGAAAAACGCTTAAATTTGGTTTTGTTGTCTTGTAGCTTATTAGCTTATTTTTGATGTGTAATTTAGTTATTTCATTTTCTGGTCCAGTCAGGGTCTAACTTTATTTTTGCATCCTTTATCAGTGGGTAATACAACATGTTTGTTGATGAGGGTAAAGGTCATTGAGGGGTCAAAAGGTCATATTGCATGTTTTTATTGATCGTAAAATCAGGCAAGTCTGTATCAGCTGGTACATGTACAAGTACATGTATGTAACTTACCAGCTATACTAATGAATTTATTTAAAGTGTTCTCCTTTTGTGAGTTATGGTTTGTAGATCTATACAAGAACATATATTCAGTGGAAATAATTTTGATAAAGACATGAAGAACAGAGAATCTACTGCACAGCTTGTAGTGTGAAAAAAATTATATTCATTTGATTTAGACATAATATAATATTTAACTATAGTTTAGTAAAATAGTCCAGTGGCAAAGATTACTTTTCAAATGCCTTCCTACATACTCATATTATGACAGATAAAAAAAATGAAATATCTATTGGAAACATGTAGGCCTAGTCTCAATATATGCATTTATTTGTGGGTTGGATGTGATTCTTAGCAGAATATTGTAAAAAAAAGAAATTCAAAAAAATATTTCAAATCCACCTACAGACTGATTTTTTTTTCACAATTCATTGTCATGACCACAACACTATGCCATCAGTTTTTGACCAATTAAAGCAATTTAAAGCAATTTCATATCAATATCATTTTGGCAATTCCAAAGCATCAAAAACCACAACAATTATTAGGTGAACTAGCTGTTACCATCTTTCAGATGCATCTATAGACAGATTTTTTTCTCCACAATTCATTGTCGTGACCACAACCCTATATGCCTTCATTTTTTGACCAATTAAAGCAATAATTTCATTGTAAGAAATATTCAGAACTGTCAGTATTATTAATTTGATTTTTCTCTTGGTGTATAGAATCATCTTTTTTAAAATCATGAAGTGATATAGGTTTGGAGAAGAAAGCCTTTTGTGCCATTTATACACAGGAGTAGGATCAAAGCGTGTTTGGAAGAACACTTGTCATAATATTGTTTGGTTTGGGGATTATTTGAATATTCATCTAATATTGTGTTTGTCTGTTTCCTTACAGCCTGGAATTACCATATGAATTGATTTTCGAATGTGATGGAACAGAATACGAGGTCACCGTCAATGGTCAATCCAATATTGAAGTAAACCTGCACCATCTGCCCACAAGGGGGATCTTGAGCATCCGGCAGGAGGGGATGGTCATGGTGTGCGTCAGGTTGAGACAGGATGATGTTTAAGTTTATGTAAGACTTTACCTTAGGATGTATAGGTTTTAGCAGAGCCATCAATAAACAAAGTTCGGCCAACCCGGCTCGTTTAGGTTATAACATGGCGCATATTGCTTTGTTAGGCAAGCACAATACAAAAGAAAATGCGCCATGTTGTTACCCAAATGTAACCGAGTTGGCCAAACTCTGTTTACTAATGGCTCTGGGTTTTAGTTGAAGGTATAAAGTACATGTTCATGTTAATATTATTTTGATTTGGATATAATTGGTGATGTACATTGCCTGTATTTTCCTTTAGTTTTATTATTATTTTTGCTTTTGGTAACTTTCAAGAAACTTCTTTCATACATCTAAGATAATAAAAATAAAAGGTATACACTCAATAGAGCTTTCATTTTTGTGATCTTGCTTGAAAAAATATGGGTTATCAAAAATAATGCAAATTACAGGCAGTGCCACTAATTATTTTAGATATGTAACATTTGACTTACATTGAATCAATGTAAGTATTATCAATTATGTTGTGCAGAAAGTATGATTATTTAATTGTTTTCCAGATGAGCATGATGCTAATGAAACTATTTTTGATACTGTTATATTGGTAAACAAACCCAAATACCTAGACATGCATACTTTAGTTAGAAATATAGTATTATTATGTTTTTCCTATGTAAACATGTATTAAATTTTCACTAAACAGAAAAACCTTCAAAAAATTATGTTACCAAATATATGCAAAACTCCATTTTTATTAAAAAAATGAAGTTTATTTTTGTTATTGTGGTAAAAATGTTTGTTTTATATTTTCTATGATATGTAAACTTTTGACCCCAATCGTACATTTAAATGTGATTTTGTTGTTTTGGATATGGTTATACATAGTTGTTGGTTTTAACTGTTGGAATACAGAGGTTAAAGGTCAAGGGCCACAGATGTCACCCTTTTTTGAAATAATTTGTTTTAAGGGGGAGGCATATTAGACGTAGTTGTATAAATTGTCTGGTTTATATTTTTGTTAGCAATTTATACTATATACATGTAATTTTAAAGGTGAATTTTAAGTGTTAGTTTTGGAGCCTGACAACCTTTTTTTTTTTGGGGGGGGGGGGGAGTATTGAGAATATTCTCCATAATGTTGGTTATAATTGTTCTATTTTATCAACTTCCGTCACATTGTTTGCGTTTTGTTTGAAACTGTTGGGTTTGAAAGTTCGATCCTGTAAGATATGTTACAATTTTCTTGTGCATTATAGATATTTCTGTTCATGGTCAAGTATTAAGTTGCATTTGAATCATTGCTTTCTTAAAATGTGTTAATTGTATGACAGAGAGTAAGTAAAAAAATATGATTACAGAGATTTTACGTTCCGTATGAAAGTTATATCGATCCGGTAATATTCCTGTGCCGTATGGATATTAATAGGTCAAGTGTAAAGATGTATATGAATGATTGCTTTCCTAAAATGTGTTAATTGTAGGTCAGAAAGTAAGATAATAAAAATAAAAGGTATACACTCAATAGAGCTTTCATTTTTGTGATCTTGCTTGAAAAAATATGGATAATCAAAAATAATGCAAATTACAGGCAGTGCCACTAATTATTTTAGATATGTAACATTTGACCTAGATTGAATCAATGTAAGTATTATCAATTATGTTGTGCAGAAAGTATGATTATTTAATTGTTTTCCAGATGAGCATGATGCTAAAAAAAAATTTTTGATACTGTTATATTGGTAAACAAACCCAAATACCTAGACATGCATACTTTAGTTAGAAATATAGTATTATTATGTTTTTCCTATGTAAACATGTATTAAATTTTCACTAAACAGAAAAACCTCCAAAAAATTATGTTACCAAATATATGCAAAACTCCATTTTTATTAAAAAAATGAAGTTTATTTTTGTTATTGTGGTAAAAATGTTTGTTTTATATTTTCTATGATATGTAAACTTTTGACCCCAATCGTACATTTAAATGTGATTTTGTTGTTTTGGATATGGTTATACATAGTTGTTGGTTTTAACTGTTGGAATACAGAGGTTAAAGGTCAAGGGCCACAGATGTCACCCTTTTTTGAAATAATTTGTTTTAAGGGGGAGGCATATTAGACGTAGTTGTATAAATTGTCTTGTTTATATTTTTGTTAGCAATTTATACTATATACATGTAATTTTAAAGGTGAATTTTAAGTGTTAGTTTTGGAGCCTGACAACCTTTTTTTTTTGGGGGGGGGGGGAGTATTGAGAATATTCTCCATAATGTTGGTTATAATTGTTCTATTTTATCAACTTCCGTCACATTGTTTGCGTTTTGTTTGAAACTGTTGGGTTTGAAAGTTCGATCCTGTAAGATATGTTACAATTTTCTTGTGCATTATAGATATTTCTGTTCATGGTCAAGTATTAAGTTGCATTTGAATCATTGCTTTCTTAAAATGTGTTAATTGTATGACAGAGAGTAAGTAAAAAAATATGATTACAGAGATTTTACGTTCCGTATGAAAGTTATATCGATCCGGTAATATTCCTGTGCCGTATGGATATTAATAGGTCAAGTGTAAAGATGTATATGAATGATTGCTTTCCTAAAATGTGTTAATTGTAGGTCAGAAAGTAAGATAATAAAAATAAAAGGTATACACTCAATAGAGCTTTCATTTTTGTGATCTTGCTTGAAAAAATATGGATAATCAAAAATAATGCAAATTACAGGCAGTGCCACTAATTATTTTAGATATGTAACATTTGACCTAGATTGAATCAATGTAAGTATTATCAATTATGTTGTGCAGAAAGTATGATTATTTAATTGTTTTCCAGATGAGCATGATGCTAATGAAACTATTTTTGATACTGTTATATTGGTAAACAAACCCAAATACCTAGACATGCATACTTTAGTTAGAAATATAGTATTATTATGTTTTTCCTATGTAAACATGTATTAAATTTTCACTAAACAGAAAAACCTCCAAAAAATTATCTTACCAAATATATGCAAAACTCCATTTTATTAAAAAAATGAAGTTTATTTTTGTTATTGTGGTAAAAATGTTTGTTTTATATTTTCTATGATATGTAAACTTTTGACCCCAATCGTACATTTAAATGTGATTTTGTTGTTTTGGATATGGTTATACATAGTTGTTGGTTTTAACTGTTGGAATACAGAGGTTAAAGGTCAAGGGCCACAGATGTCACCCTTTTTTGAAATAATTTGTTTTAAGGGGGAGGCATATTAGACGTAGTTGTATAAATTGTCTTGTTTATATTTTTGTTAGCAATTTATACTATATACATGTAATTTTAAAGGTGAATTTTAAGTGTTAGTTTTGGAGCCTGACAACCTTTTTTTTGGGGGGGGGGGGGGGGAGTATTGAGAATATTCTCCATAATGTTGGTTATAATTGTTCTATTTTATCAACTTCCGTCACATTGTTTGCGTTTTGTTTGAAACTGTTGGGTTTGAAAGTTCGATCCTGTAAGATATGTTACAATTTTCTTGTGCATTATAGATATTTCTGTTCATGGTCAAGTATTAAGTTGCATTTGAATCATTGCTTTCTTAAAATGTGTTAATTGTATGACAGAGAGTAAGTAAAAAAAATATGATTACAGAGATTATACGTTCCGTATGAAAGTTATATCGATCCGGTAATATTCCTGTGCCGTATGGATATTAATAGGTCAAGTGTAAAGATGTATATGAATGATTGCTTTCCTAAAATGTGTTAATTGTACGTCAGAAAGTAAGGAAATATTTGAAAAAATGTTATTTACTAAGTTTAGATTGTTGCAAGAAATTAACATTTGAAATGTTTCACAATAGGAGCAAAGTATACACATCTGGGGTAGATTTAATTTGTAATGTTTTATTTGTTGTGAAGATTTTAGTAGTTATTAGCACAGTTTAAAACAAAATATGTTATAGTGCATCCCATAAAAAAGTACCCTGTACTCTTATTTCCTCATAAGGTATAACTTACCATGAAAGTAATTAAGTTCTGTATTATTGAAGAGAATATAAGTTAATCTTTAACATGAAATAAAACAAGGTCATACAATTTATACATATATATATGATGCTTTTAAATTTGGGTATACTATTTTTTTCTGTGATGCATGTGTAGTGTTTAACATATACAATTGGATCAACAATACAATGATACAGATGAAAAGTTGCATAAAGTTGCTTCTATTAGTGTTTATATTTGTATTAAAGTATTTTTTAATATAGTTTCATGAATAACTGTTTAAATTTATTTATGTGATTGAAATACTAATCAGGGGATGGTGTTGTCCATGAATGAATTGTAGAGATGAATTCTATGTGCCATGTACAGTGTATGTGCATTGTTATACAATGATTCTTATTTCTTTGAGGAGTGAGTGAATAGGTTTCAAGTTGTAATAGTGTTATCATATTAGATTACAGTATTCCTGTTATATCGAGTTTAGATACAATGCATGTTATGCACTTTTCCAAATGTCGTTATAACAGGAGTGGACTGTATTGGATTGTGCTTCAAGTGGTCTTAGAAAAGTGTTAGATATGGACTGAGGTGGCCTGTGGAGGTGGCACAATGTATAGATGATGCCATTTGAAAACTGGATTGAGTTTGCATAAAGATTTTAAACCGGTCTCGGTTGGTCCTGGAATTGATGTGTGAAGCACCAAAGTGGACTCGGGTTGGCTTATAATGGAACTGACATAATTATCTGAAAGATTTTATTTTTTGTTTTTTTAATTTATAAGCCAACTCGAGTCCATTTTTGTGTTTATGACAATTATGTTGTTGATGAAGATATTGATGATATGATGTTGATAATGATGATGGTGCATGATGATGATTATGATGATAATGATGTATATGGAGATGAAGATGATTATGGTCATCATAAGGGTGATCCTTGGTAGGATTGTTGTGATGATCATTGTGATTGTGACAAGATAATGCAGTGGCGGATCTAGGATTTAAAAGGGGGATCCGAAAATGGGGGGGGGGGGGGGATTGTGTCAAATGTGGTTTTAGGGGTTTTAAGGTGGTGGGCAGTCATGAGTGTTTAACAAATATGCATGTGAGGGGGCGTCGATTGTGTCCAACATCCCAGCCACCCGATGATCCACCACTGATGATGGATCTTACATTATAATTGACTTTAAGACTTGGCAGTTAAGTTGAAAACCAAAATTCATTTGGGACATGGCTTTACTGGACAAAGACCAAAGTGTTGCCTATTATGATTATTTAAACTGAAAATGAGATTTTCATATCAATATTCAAGTGAAATAAATATGGGCATTTATGATTTGATTTGAAAGAAAGAATAAGAATGTTAGCCTACAGAATTTTTAAAAAATGATCAAGCACAAGGAAAACCCAGAGCTTTATAAATGTATTATGTATAATTATTTGTTTAGATGCCTCAGTTTTAATTGCAAGAGTAGTCTACGATATCTTTTTACAATAAAAATATCAATCAATTTGTAGATAACATAGACTTGGTGAATTACCTGATGAATTTAATTTTGCAAGATTTCTTTCTTTTCAATTTTTATTTTTGTTTTAGAGAATACCGTAATGCCTTTTTTTTAATACATTTATGTATTGTGTGTATGTGATATAACAAATAATCTGCACGTACTGTTAAAAAAACACTAACAAAGCCCATGAATGTTTTGCTTACAATATTATTTTTCGATACTATCTTAAAAGATAGATAAATATAAAACGAAATAAATATATTTTTAAAAATACAAAAATGAGAGATATAACGCGTGCCGTAAAGTATTTTGGTGACAATAGTCAAATTACTGACTAATCGCCATTAAAACCAAAACACAACAACAACATTTGTCGTCGCGAGAGCATCGTCACTTTGTGGTTTGTCTCTTGGACAAAATCTTGCCTTGTGAAGCCGAATCTTGACCTTAGTTGTACACGTCGTTTAGGTAAGTTGATTATTCGAGATTTCCTTCTCATTATGCTGCATGGAAAGTCATGTTTGCAGCCACACGTTAGTCAAAACACACCCTGTACCGCTTACCGTACAGAGCAGACTCAGAGGTTTATAATTGTTGCTGCGGCGTTGTGTATAGGGAGGCCGGCGCTAGTGTAGTTCCGTGTCCATTTTTTTTAGCAGTTTCATATCCATTCTTAGCAAAGGAAATTTAGCCCAATTTTTTACTAATTTTAATTCATAGCCATAGGTCTAAAAGTTTGATCTAGACCTAGACATAGACTAGTTTGGATCACATCCGACATCAGGAAACCTCCGTTTAAACTTTAAGGCTTCGATGTCGATGTTGTCGCTCAGTACCGTCTCTACGCTAGATCTATAGCTTTGCAACTCAAACTGAAGCTATCAGTCCAAAATTATGCAAACTTCTCGTATGGTTTATGGTATCGTGCATGCGAGAAATGTGCATAATTTTGGACTGATAGCTTCAGTTTGAGGTGCAGAGCTATAGCGTAGAGATGGTACTGAGCAACGACGTCGACATCGAAGCCCTAAACTAAACGGAGGTTTCCCGATGTCGGATGTGATCCAAATTCAGGTGGAAAATGCAATAGGCCCTAGACCTCTATATCATGATTATGATTCAAATTAGTAACAAATTGGGCTAAAATTCCTTTGCTAAGCCTAAGAATGGATTATTAAACTGCTAAAAAAATGGATACGGAACTACTCTAGCGCCGGGAGGCCAATGCCCAAATCTAACTTTTTAATTACTACTTTGTTTATAATAAAACTAAGATTAAAAGAAAGCATTTACTTTCACTAAGACAACTCACCCATCTGCCGACTCCAGAATGTCCATAAAATAGGAGATATCCAGCTCATAATTATACATTTCCTTCTACGCGCGCGCCTGGCCGTCCGTAAGACGAGCCTTGAAACAATCAATTTCAATTACGTTGAGAATTAGACAGGCCCGAGGGAATGGGCGTGTCATCATGGTCATTGCCCGGACAACAAGTTCAAAACTTCGCGCGAAAGTACATTCATTCAGGTACGGTAATTGCATGCAAACCGCAATCGAGCCATGCTAGCCATGGCATGGAGGGTCAAAACATGATAGAGAGAAAGCTCGAAAGCCACTCATTGTAAATTAAGAAAGTAATTGAAATAAATAAATAGATCTAGGCCTAGAGGTCTACCTTAGTTTTGCGATGTATTCCAATTACTATTTCCTCATGAGTAAAGATCTGACACTGCATTATCATCGATCGATAAATCCAACTTGCACTTGTAGCGATCACAATACGGAATCAAACATGACTGCACGCATTGATAGACGTGTACTACTTACGGAGATATTTCTCTCCCTCTCTCTCTCTCTCACTAACCATATGATGATATCATACACTAAAACACACACGTTCAAATCATGGCATTCATTACACTTCTCAATTGGAGTATAGACTGCTCACATAGACTTTTTTTTTTTACTGAAATGTCTTTTGTTACACTTCTCATACATTACTGCACGACACTGGTGTCTAGTGCTGAGAATAAGGTACTATGTGTGAGACTACGTCAAATTTGTTTTGCGCGCGATGAGACCGGAGCTCATACATATTCATATAATGATGTCGCAAGACTTCTATTTGGGGCTGGAACAATGAGGTCTCTGTTCACAGTTTTTCTTCTCAATTTGAGATGGCTCTAGCTATGGGGCTCAAACCGACGCAAGATTGACAAAAACATCGTACTCTATCTACCTTCGAATGTGCAGTTTGTAAAAATCTGCAATTAAAAAGATATAATCTTTTTTCTTTATATTTTCTAGTTGTTAAAAGTGACATTTGTGCACATCTGATATGTTAATCTCTATCAAAAGTTCTTTGATATTAAATTGATTCCATATTTTTAGGCTTTACCTTCAGTCATTGAGAAGGATTTTAGTGAGCTAACCTCATCGCCCTCTAGGACCCTTCTAGTTTCTCTTGTGCGTCCGTTATTTTCGTCTGCTAGCCCAATTAATGGATTAAAATATGTCAAAATCTGGAAGATCGTCAATAAATGGTGAAAGACCGTTACAGATCCGAGATTATAGGTATGTTGTGGAGTGTGTAATTGTGTATTTGTTATACATTTTATTCCATAGATATTTTTTTCTTTTTTTTCCCCCTTTTTTTTCTTCTGGTAATTTTCTGACTTGGACGACGAGCGCACAAATCGTAGGCGTAGAAGCCTTACGCCCGGGCATTGGCCTCCCTACTAAGACCTTGCAGGCTTACCAAAAAGTCAATGGGATTCATTGCCTTGATTAAAAATAAAATCCATACAGTGGGTCTAGAGACGAGTCCACATCAGACAGCTGAAATTCCTGGCTTCATTATAAAATCCAAAAGTCAAAACAGGCCTAAATCCAAGGCAAAAGTAAAATAAAAGGGGGGGGGGGGGGGAAATTGCGCCCTAATTTTTTTTTTTTTTTTATATATTTTTTTAAAATTCTGTGTGTGTGCCATTACTAATGGCAAAATGCCCATTCTGACCTCTAAAGTATCCTACAAGCATCTCACATCGGCCATTTGGGGATGTTCATTGGTTCATTGAACACACCAGTCGTGACAAAATCATGCATATTCAGCCAATGATCCATAACAAATTTTCTTCCTGTTTGTAGGAACTGTAAGAGGCATTGATCCATCATGTCACAGTCCGTGTTTATTTTTAAGAATATAACTTTTGTCAGTAAAATACAACTTTTGGGATTAAAGAATACAGTTTTTGAACTCTTGAGGTTGGCAGGTCTGAGTACGTACAGTACATATGTACTACGTACACAGTACATGCAGTCTAGTCATTACGTCACGATCACATCACCATGGTACCAGCACGCACACAGCTAGCTGTGCGCGTTAATTTATTTATCCGGTGCGCGCATGCATGCGCATTGGGTCTATCGTCAGAATTAACGCCTATTGGCCATGCGCAGAAGTCATGACTAAAAGTTAAACACGACTTGCGCAGAACTTAAACAGTTTAGTTAAACACGACTTAGACAGGACTTAAACAGTTGTTTAGTTAGACAAGACTTAGACACTACTTCAGAATACAAAATTTAGTTAAACAGGACTTAGACATGACCTCGCGTTAAAGTCGTGTCTAACTAAACAGTCGTTTAACTTAAGACATGACTAAGGGCGCGTTTATCTAGGCTTGCCATTAGATATGTACATATCGTACCCCACTATCGAACCCCACTATCGAACCCCACTATACGATCGTGATTTGCGGGATGTCGCGTTTATCTACACTTCACGATTCACAATAAAGGCCTTGTCTCTTCGCAGCTGCTCAGCTCCGTTTGACCCGGGAAGCAGACAGTTTCTCGGAGGTCAACTTCACACGTATGCTTGTACACAACACCTGTGTGGTCCTATTTGTATGTGAGGTACAAAACAGCTTTGCGTTTATCGATCTCTCAGAAACGTGATTCTGGCTGTATGTCACATACAAAACGCACCTTTTTGCGTCTTTTGATATGCCCATATCTAAAGACGTTTGAAAAAGGCTTTGCGTTTATCTACTTCTAAATTTGCCTGAAAGACGTTTGAGAAACCTGATTCTAGCCAAAAATTTGCTAGATAAACGCAACCTATGTTAGACACAACTTCAGAATACGGGCCGTTGTATTTATGTAATTCAGCATTATGAATGAGGCCTCATTATTTCCATTTGTATTTATTTTTGTGATATGTTCATTTCTGGAATTTTATGCAATGTAATTGTTTTTTTGTTTTTTTTTCTATTTGTATTTCAGTTTTGACTGTTCTTTAGAGACTTGGTTAGTACCGGTAAGTTGATATTAGTTGTTAATAGAGAGTAAGTTGATCTGCTTAAGAAGGCTGAAGTCAAGTAGTTTTTAAATTAAAGCTACGATGGAATGAAACAGATCTGCATAATTGGGAACATAATTGAACGCGGAATAGGAAAGCTATGGCTTAATGAAATTTTCTATATAACATTTTTGACACTTTCGTAAGTATGTAACATCATTTTGTGGACAATTCTCAATACTCTTTCATTGGGTGTTGCCAAAATTTGAAGAGAATCCATGAATTATGTAAGGAGTTGATAAAGAAGAACAAGTTTGTTTGTTTTTAAACACCTAGTGCAAATGATAGATGTATTTTGATTTTAGTCCAATGCAATACATATAGTACAGCTGACCTTGCCTTAGTCGAACTTGGATAAGTCAAAAATTGCTATGGTTGAAAGTCTACACGTAGCCCAACCTGTTTTGTCCTATTATTTTATGATCGTCCTAAATCAAAATTTGTCTAAGTTAAAGCTATTTTATGGGTCCCAAAAGATTTGAGTTAGGCCATTAATTTTTTTTTACATGTTTAGCGTCCCCGCCCGCTTCATTTTGGGGGGGGGGGGGGGCCTCCTTTCTTTTCTTTTTTTTCTTCTTTTTTTTAATACAATTTTGATGATGGCTAGGTGGCTTCCAAAAGAATGAATGGAATCTTGATACATATTTGTACTGCCCTCATGCTATCTGAAAGAAACCTATCAGGATGGATAATTAATGTAGGTGACCTTTGGGGAAAAATCAATTGTAGCATGTTAATTTAGCATCAAAAGTACATACGGTAGGTAGTGTTTTGTCAAGTCCAGGGCCCTGTGGTATAAAACTATTGTATCTTTACAATTAATGGTATCTCTGCAAACACTGCTTAGCTAATAAAAATCAAGAAATCAATGGTATTTACCATAGTTTGTAGAGATATCATTAATTGTAAAGATACGATAGTTTTATGCAATGGGGCCTTGATGGTTGATATGTATGACATACTGAATTGTTATAATGAGGTTGGACTGTATTATGAAATGTTTGAGTGACATCAAAGTATGCAAATTAGTTGTTACCAAAGTTGAATTTGTGATGCAATCTAACTTGGTTTATTTAATTGTTTGTTTTTTATATTTTTGTCATGTTTTACTTGTACTTTTTATTTTTTGTTTTGATGACAGGTGCTTTGGACTTTGACAGGGGCTTTGGACTTTGACGGAAGAAAGTTTTTGGAGTGTAGGTATACCGAGTGTCTAAAAAAATCAAAGTTGAAACTTTTAAATATTCTGCCAAATAAATAAAAAATGTGAAACATTCTCGGGAAATTGTCATATGTATGGATGGGTGAAGCTCTTGTCTATCATATGATGCCAACACATGTGATAATAATTCATACTTGGATGAGCACTGGCCACTTTTGTACAGGGTATGAAAATTAGATTGTGCAAGATTTGGCTGTTCAATTTGGCTGAGCGAGAAGTCCCCAAGCATAACAATTGTTAATGATCTGATGAATTTATGATTAATTACGATGGATATGGGTTTGTGCTGTGTGTGATGTGTCCCACCTCTTGCCCCACCCCACCCAACTTCATTTAAAGGAGAATGAAACCCTGATTGTTATGCCTCCGTTACGAAGTAGCCGGAGGCATTATGTTTTCGGGTTGTCCGTCCGTCTGTATGTACGTACGTACGTCCCGTTTTCGTGATCGCGTTATCTGAAGAACCGATTGATGGATTTGTGCCAAACTTTGGTCATGTATGTATCTTGCAGAGCCGATGAACTGATTAGATTTTGGGATTACGAGGTCAAAGGTCACAGGGCTCATTATGTATGCAAAAACAGCTCGTGATCGCGTTATCTGAAGAACCGATTGATGGATTGCTGCCAAACTTAGGTCATGTATGTTACTTGCAGAGTCGATGAATTGATTAAATTTTGGGGTCACGAGGTCAAAGGTCAAAGGCCACAGCGCACATTATGTATGCAAAAACAGCTTGTGATCGCGTTATCTCAAGAACCAACCGATGGATTCCTGACAAAATTAGGTCATGTATGTTACTTGCAGAGCCAATGAACTGAGTAAATTCTTGGTTCATAAGGTCAAAGGTCATGGGCTCATTATGTATGCAAAAATAGCTTGTAATCACGATATTCTGAGAACCTGTTAATGGATTACAATTGAATTTGAATTCGAAAAATTTCTTCTGTCTTGGTTTGTAAAATTGCTTTATGACGGAGGCATCATTTTCGACTGCACGCAGTCGAATTCCATCTAGTTAAAATATAGATTCGGCCTGGATAGATATCACATAGTCCCATATACATCTTTCTGTGTACAGTGCTTTTAATTTACCAAAACTGGGCAAAATTTTGTATCATTTTGATGATTCCAGAACCTTGCAGTACACACCAATACTTATAGATGATCAAACTTTTCTGATCGATTCCACAACGTTTCTTTTCACAATGCAATTGAATTGCATGACCAGAACTGGTCTATACCTTTAATAATATAATTTTAATTATTATACAAATACGATACAGTGGATTCTAACTAGACATACAATGTTTGTTACAGGTGGATTTGGTGGATGAGGAGGAGGACGCTGTTTCGGTGGACGAGGCGGCGGTGGACGCGGAAGGGGAGAATTCGGCGGAGGAAGGGGACGAGGAGGTATGTCTTGTTTATTTTCACCATCTTTGGAACGGTAGTTACTAAGGACTTTGATGGATGAAAATTATCATCACAATATGATTGATTTCAATCCAAACAGATAAGATCATTCTCGATTTTCATGCCTCCACTACAAAGTAGCCAGAGGCATTACTCTCAAACTGAAATAGCTTGTAATCAAAATATTCTGAGAACCTGATAATGGATTACAATCAAACTTGATAATGGATTACAATCAAACTTGAATATTAAAAATTGCTTCCGATTTGGTTTGTAAAATCGCTCTATAGCGGAGGCATCATTTTCGACTGCACGCAGTCTAAGTTCCATCTAGTTAGTCTTATTGTGTTAATCAAAAGTTAAATAATTATTATTCTGTGTGTGTCGCGTAGTCCCACATACATCTTTCTGTGTACAGTGCTTGTAACTTTACCAAGACTGGGTCAAATCTCATCATTTTGATGATCCAGATCACACCAATACTTATATGCTAGCTGAGCAACCTTTTCTGATCGATTCCACAACGTTTTTTTCACAATGCAATCGCATGACCAAAACTGGTCTTTGCCTTCAAAGGTACTATGTCCCATTTGCAGGCCAACAAAATGAAAAGGTTAAATTTCAACAGCATTTGAAAGATAATACTAATTTAGAACTTCCCTAAAAAAAGGGGGGCTTGAAAATGTCTTTAAGTTGGAAAATAACGACTATTAGTTGTCAAATCGACTTAAGAGCTATAGAGCCAGTAAGTAATGGTCTGATTTTCAGACCATTGTACCGAATGGTCGTACATTTTATGCTGCGCAAAGATTCAATCAGTTTAATTTTGGCCATTACAAGCAGAAGTGGGATATTGATGTTGACAAATGCTCATATACCCTTTACAGCTCATTTTATGTACATGTATGTTATTTCCAAAGAAGAAAAAAGCTAGTGAGTCACTCAATAGTGTCTGACAGTGAAGCTAATGTAGCAAGTAAACGGGTTTCTTTGCATAATTTGAATATTAGGACACTGCTAACGTTTAAACTTCACAGATAGGACATACATGACATATTCATAATTCCTATAAAGTTCTACAGAATTTGATTGTGGCTGCAAAAGGGACATAGTATCTTTAAGCATTGAATGAGGGCTCACTATTTGTATTTATTTTTGTAATATAATCATATTGGTATTTTATGAAATGCAATTGTTTTTTTTCTTTTCTTTTTTTCTTTCAGGTTATTGACTGTTTTCAAGATTGCTGAGAGTTGCAGAGAGTAAGTTGATCTGCTTAAGAAGGCTAAAGTCAAGTAGTTTTTAAAATAAAGCTACAATGGAATGAAACAGATCTCCATAATTGGGAACATAATTGAACGCGGAATAGGAAAGCTATGGCTTAATGAAATTTTCTATGACACTTCCGTAGGTATGTAACATAATTTTGTGGACAATTCTCAATACTCTTCCATTGGGTGTTGCCAAAATTTGAAGAGAATCCTTGAATTATGTAAGGAGTTGATAAAGAAGAACAAGTTTGTTTGTTTTTAAACACCTAGTGCAAATGATAGATTGTTGGAGAAGTCGAGCAGGCTGTAGAGCCCCAGCGATGCCTGGGCGGTGACCTGTCGATTTCCCGTCGGTGGCCGGTCGATTTTAGGTAAAAACTGGGCGAATTCGCGGAGCTTTTTCGCGCGGTGTCCCGGCAGTGACCGACCGATGACCCTCCGATTGCCGGGCGGTCTCCCACCAGCCACCGGCTGATTTTAAAGAAATTGCCTGGCGGCCGGCCAGTGATCGGCGGGGCTCCAAAATACGCTCGGTGCCTGGCCGTTCGCCGCCCGGGCACCGAAATAATCGAGCGTTCGCCGCCGAGCAATTTAGGTCAAAAATCGAAGGCGCTAGGGTCAAAGGCTGCCGACCTATTTTGGACTCGCCGCCAGGTGACCGACTGATCTCCCAGCGGCGACCGGGCGGCGACTGCTCGACAGCCTTTGACCTAGGGGCTTCGATTTTTGACCTAAATCGCTCGACGGTGAACGCTCGATTAGGCCGGCGTCCGGGCGGCGACCGGTCGCCGAGCGATTTTAGGTAAAAACTGGGCGAAATCGCGGAGCTTTTTCGCGCGATGTCCCGGCAGTGACCGACCGGTGACCCTCCGATTGCCGGGCGGTCTCCCACCAGCCACCGGCTGATTTTAAAGAAATTGCCCGGCGGCCGGCCAGTGATCGGCGGAGCTCCAAAATACGCTCGGTGCCTGGCCGTTCGCCGCCCGGGCACCGAACTAATCGAGCGTTCGCCGCCGAGCAATTTAGGTCAAAAATCGAAGGCGCTAGGTCAAAGGCTGCCGACCTATTTTGGACTCGCCGCCCAGTGACCGACTAATCTTCCAGCGGCGACCGGGCGGCGACTGCTCGACAGCCTTTGACCTAGGGGCTTCGATTGTTGACCTAAATCGCTCGACGGTGCACGCTCGATTAGGCCGGCGTCCGGGCGGCGACCACCCGGTCGCCGAGCGTAGTCTGGGCGGCGAGTGAAAGTGAGCAGGCGCCGCCCGAATTTTAACTCCGCGCTAAAACTTCAGCAGCGACCGAGCGATGCCTTAAAAACGAGCGGTGACCGGGCAAAATTGGCTAAAAACTCGCCGCTCGGCCGCCGAGCAGGCTAATTTTGGGTAATGTGACTACCGTATTTGCCGGCGTAAAGGCCGCAGTATTATTGGAAGAGAAAATATCAAAAAGTCGGGGTGCGGCCTATGCGGCGAAAGAGTAATTTTTTTTTTTTTTTTTTTTTTTAGTTTCGATTTATGGCGCTATGCCTGGCAATGTCTCCCAGCTCAGTAATCAGTGTGTTGACTCACCACTCGGAAACTACAACAACAACACTAAAATTTGTCTGTCATTTTGGTTTGAAAGTAATCTTTCTAATAGATCTCAATATGTAGTTTATAATAATAATTCCTCAATTTTTTTGTCTATAACAAATGGTGTACCACAAGGTTCTATCCTACGAGCTCCTTGATGATTTCTCAAGAATTGCCCAGACGTGTCTATTGAATTTAATTAATTTTTTTTTCTATTCCTTTCTGTCTTTTGCAGGACCGAGGGTGGTACACTCCAAAGAACTCTCCAAAGAACTCTCCAAAGAACTCTCCAAAGAACTCTCCAAAGAACTCTCCAAAGAACTCTCCAAAGAACTCTCCAAAGAACTGTCCAAAGAACTCTCCAAAGAACTCTCCAAAGAACTCTCCAAAGAACTTGCACTTAAACTTGCACTTGAACTTACACTTGCACTTGAACTTACACTTGCACTTGAACTTACACTTGAACTAGCACTTGCACTTGAACTAGCACTTGAACTTGAACTTGCACTTGAACTATCTTGAACTATCTTGAACTATTTTGAACTATCTTGAACTATTTTGAACTATCTTGAACTCTCCAAAGAACTTGCACTTGAACTTGCTCTTGAACTTACACTTGAACTAGCACTTGAACTTGAACTATCTTGAACCTTGAATCTGAAACATACTGAATGAAACTTGAATCTGGAAATCTTGAATCGAATCAAAACTGGAACAGAATATTTCTAAAGATTGTATTGCCATTTTTAGAAGACATAATTATTGTCAATTATAAAGAAATTATTGGCAGTTTCTAGAAGGAATTAAAAGTAAACTGAAATAAAAAGAAGAACAGTAGAGGGAAAGGAATCTAACTCTAATTCCTGGAACTTGATAAGACCATACTTACAGTTGAAAGCAGTAATATTGTAAATCTTGGGAAAGAAAAAAAGAGGTATACATTTTAAAGAGTAAAGTAGATTGGAAAAGTAGTCGTTCAAGATAAATATTGGAAGTTCGAAGGACTGTATTGCCATTTTAGAAGACATAATTATTGTCAATTACAAAGAAATTATTAGCAGTTTCTAGAAGGAATTAAAAGTAAACTGAAATAATAAAAGAAGAATAATAGAGGAACAGGAATTTAATTCTAATTCCTGGAACTTGATAAGACCATAATTACAGTTGAAAGCAGTAATATTGTAAATCTTGGGAAAGAAAAAAAGAGGTATACATTTTAAAGAGTAAAGTAGATTGGAAAGTAGTCGTTGAAGATAATATTGGAAGTTTTAAGGACTGTATTACGATTTTAGAAGACAAAATTGCTGTCAATTAGAAACAAAATCTTGGCAGTTTCTAGAAGGAATTAAAAGCAAAGTGAAATAAAAAGAAGAACAATAGAGAAAAAGCAATCTAATTCTAATTCCTAGAACTTGATAAGACCTCTATTAGAATTCAAAACAGTAGTATTAGTAATCTTGGGAAAGTAAAAAGAGCGTATACACAGCAAAGAATAAAGAAGATTGAACAAAATAGTGTGAAGAAGGCAATATTGCAAGTTTGAAAGACTGTATTGCCATTTTAGAAGACATAATTACTGTAAATTAGAAAGAAATTATTGGCAGTTTCTAAAAGGAATTAAAAGCAAACTGAAATAAAAAGAAGAACAACAGCGAGAAAGCAATTTAATTCTAATTCCTAGAACTTGATAAGACCATAATCACAAAAAATTTGTGTCAATATATAGAGTCCTAGAAAAGTGAGCGTGGTTGATTGTAAAGAGAAAAGGAAAGAAATCCTTCGATATATAGTGTTCAGAATTTTAAAAATAAAAGTAAGCTTGATTGCAGAGAGAGTAAGAAAGAAGATTGGGTCAGGATATATATATAGTTTTAAAAATATAAGTGAGGTTGATTGATTTGAGAGAGAATAAGAAAGATATTTTGGTCAGGATATAAAGTGAACCTGTTTGCAGAGAGAGAGTAACAAAGAAATTAGCAATTTGGGAACTTATATAGGCCTACAATACATTTAGGCTATTAATGACCTACTCATAATTTAATAAAAAACGCCATCTTGAGACAAAAACATTATAGCTCCTTAACACAGTACAAGCTAGTGTATATAAAGCTAGGCTATTGAAATACCATAGAGTTTAATATCAGTAAGGATTAGTTTTTCATAATTCACAATAGGAATATTTAAATAAAAGACTATTGGAGTAAGGAATATATACAGAACATTATATATCAAAGTTACAGAACCGTTAATTGTAGACTTGTAATTATTAACCAGAACTGTTGCAAGTATATAAGCAAAATTTACCATGATGGATACAATTGAATTTAAGAAAACACTTGATGAAATCATGAATATACTGACTAGTTGTGCATTGGTGACCAACCCAAAGCTTAATGAATGCTGTATCTGTAACAATGAAATCAAAGAAAATGAAAGTGATGCAAGATGTGACTGTTGTAGTAAGCATTTTCATGTGACATGTATGGGATTCCCTTGTGAAGACAGACTGAGTGACCTGACATTGATCTGGATTTGTTCATTTTGTGGAAATAACAACATGGCTCATCGCATGTTTGATCAAGTATGCATCCCTTCTCATTTCAATAGATACGAACTTCTTGGTGATCATGATGAACACTGTTACTTGGATTTGAACCAATCAAGGACCCTATCAAGTACGACCAACAAAAGAAAATGTGGCAGATCAAAGAAGAGGTATGGTAAAAAGGGAAAGAAAACCAATCGATTGAGAGGAACACAACATCATATAACTGACAGGAAAACAAATGAGTCTGATAGACATAATCCTTTGGCTATGGAAAATTCATCCCAAATAGAACACGAAGAGATGCAAAATGAAAAATTTGAGGATGACTGGGTAATTGTGAAATCAAGGAAGACGAAATGGGTGGAGAAACTAAAATCAAGAAAATTGTATCCCAAATCAATAGATGATCATCAAACAGACAGGAAAATCAGAAGAAAATCGGTGAATGGCAAAGTCTTAGAACCTGGTGTAACTTACATCGGCAAAGCAATGAAGACATTCTATGAAAGCCATAGCAGAAAAAAAAAGGAAGACCGAAAGAAAGTTGATTGTAAAGAAAAGAAGGTGAAATCCGAGAAAAAAGATATCAGTGTTCAATCTTACACAGAAACTCTTTTAGGTTTATATGCCTACAGTGTGCAGTCCCCACATGCAATGAAGTTGTATAATGACATGTGTGTGCAAAGTGAAACAGCACAAACACGATCCTGGGCAGACATAGCAAGCAATTTGCCAACTCAATCTAGAACAGATACATGTGTTGATATCGATGTATGTACTTGTAATCTTTTTGAACAGATCAAGGATTTGCGAAAGTACAGAGTTCATGCTGGTGGCAAGAAAAAAGAAGCAAAGAACAAGAAAGGTCGAGCAAGGAACAAGAAAGGTCAGTCTTCCAAAGGGAAAAAAGGTACTGATGGAAATCACTCTTCTGATAAATCGGAGATTAGATTTGACAAAGATGAAGGAATAGAATTAGCAGTAAAGAATGAGAAGCAGGATACAAAGATATCGATGAATGCAGGTGACCAAGGACTTGATACAAATACATGTAAAAATGATACACACTCAGACCAGCATATTTGCAATATGAAAGACAACAAAGGTTCAGATGGAGTTGTGCAGGACGATTCAAAGAATAATCTGTTGAAATCAAATTTTGATGAAAATGGGGAAATTGAAACGGACGATGATAGTGGCAGTGATGTTCATATACCAGTGAAACGTTCGTGTGCAAGAAATTGTATAGAATCTGATAGTGATACAGACACAAGTCCTGGATGTGATTTATGCGATAGAAGTGTTTTACCAGAACGCAATATGCCTTTGAATGTTTGTGATAGACCAAAAGATATGCCCATAAATGAACCAGTAGACAATGTCTGTGAATCGGTATTGGAAAATGATGATATGATGAAAAATGATTTTTCAGATGTTTCAGATGGTGTACAAGAAGATGCAGTGTTTGACAATGACCTGGAGAATAGAAGCTTTGATACAGTAAAAGATGGTACAGACAATGATACTGATATGTCATTTAATGATCATGCTCATTCAAGGAATCCTTTAGAATCTTCTTCAGATTCAAATATCAAAGATGAAGACATTGAAAAGGCAATAGATGCTAATATGTACACATGTACTGATGAAACAGAAACAGAAGTTGAATTTGTAGCAGATCTTGGATTACGTGACAGACCAGATAAAGATTTCAAATTTGTACCCCTCCAGAATAATGACAAACGGAACATTTGTTCAAAACTGAATATCAGATATATAGGCAAAGGCTGTGATTCAAGGTTAGATAGAAATAGCTGTATTGGAGTTCCTTTACAGAGTAAACAAATTACTGGTGATGGCAATTGTTTCTTTCGTGCAATTTCCTATGTAATTTCTGGAACTGAGCGTAATCATGCAATTCTAAGAAATGCCACTGTGAAACATTTATTGCAAACCAAGGACATGTTTAGTAATACATTGAGGCAAGAATATAGAACAGTCAGAGAATATGTTTTGAAACGTAGAATAAAGGAAGACGGAACGTGGGCTACAGACACTGAAATTAGCGCTTTAGCAAATTAATCGATACTGATATTTATTCATACAATGACCAAGTACCATGTTGGCAATTGTTCTCTGCAAAGAAACCTGGAAGAATAAATATTGTAACATCTGATAAGGGAATTTATATACTGTACACAGGAAATGTTCATTTTAATGTTGTTGAATCTGTAGATTTTGTCAATTTCAATTCATTGGAACAGACAAGAACAACTAAAGAAGATAGAACGTCAAAGAGAACTTTGCCATGTCCATCAATTCAGGCTGATGTTAAAGTAAAGCATGAGTTCAAAAAGTGTAGATCCAAGGCGCAGATAGAGGAAGAAATTGATGAAGTAGTGGATAAGTCTCCTGAAACATTTCAAAACCATGTTGATCCAAAGGGAAAAAACGTAGGCTCACGTTGGAGACTGGTACGATAAATCACGATGAGAGGAAAGGTACTGCAAATCTTTTGGACATGACATATGAACAGTGTGCAAGTAATCAGTCTGAATCAGTCGTTCACAACGAACGTAACACCAAGGACGAAACCCTTGAAAGTGATCACAAAGACAAATGCACGAGAGTCGATACACAAATAACGCTTGTTGCCCAAGGGACATTCAATCAAGGTGATACAAGATTTGGTGACTTAAGTGGAAAGCAGTGTGTTACCAATTCACTTTCTGCACTGTTGTATAGCAAGGTAAA